TCTTCTAAATGAAACTGGATGTACTCCAATTTCACAAATGGGATTTTTGAACAAAATATCAACTGTTGCAAATATCTATATTCAGTCGTTGTTTACTGAAGTCTTGAGATAAAATAAGAAAAGTCCACAATAAGTCAAGGATGGAGGAGGTATGGCACAGGTGACCCAAAAATCTTAACTCTTGATACTTAACTCTCTATATTCTCAGTCTTAACCCAATACCTAACTCTCAACTCCGTGTAATAATGTGGTAGGGAAATGGTCAGGATAAGGGCTTTCAATTTTAAAATAATTTAATTTGCCATTGCAATGGATTTTTAAATATTATTTGGAGGCCTTGGACCACTTCCAGAATAAGTAAGGAAGCGATTAGGAAGGACCAAATGAGGGAAGAATGCATCCGACCCCTTCACTGTTGGAAAGCTGCTGAGCATGCTAGTGCATATGTGGGAATGTTAGCAACAATAAGGAAAACATAATGAGTTTTTCATAAAGTTAAGTTTACTCAATTTAAAGTACCATATAATTTTAAGATGATATAACTTCTATTATTTTGGTATTTAAATGTTCTCTCTTCTATAAAATATTATCACTGCATGAGAAACTTACCAGTATTTTGTGCACAGCTGATAAAGAAAAAAGCTAACAATTCTATCCCCAAAAATGTTTTATGAGAGTCTGCTGTTTCATGAAATCCATTAGACAATAAACTAGTCTTATCTCCCTCCTATATTTTGCAGCTTAAATAAAGCAATAGAAGATGAATTTTAGGTTTCCTTAATGACACCCAACATGAATGAAATACTTGTGGATACCAGAGTTTACAAGAATAGAAGTGTTTTCTCAGCATCTTCTGTATACTCAGTACAAGTTTAGAAATCCCACTAAAGAAAGAACTGTTTTTTTCCAACAAAAAATTCAGTCTAGCTGTAAAACGAAATGTACCTATGTGAACTGGGAAGAACACACACATGCACACTTATTGTCAAGGGTGAGATGGGAAGGCACAGATTAAGGGCAAATGACTTGTTGAAAGTAAAGGGTGAATGTGGGGCTGAATAACACAAGAAGTGAATTTGAATTTAAGGGAAGACAGGTGTTGTTTTGGCTAAAAAGAGAGAGTACTTTTTGAATAGATGGGAAAACATTGAAAAGATCATGGAGAAAGTGATAGTATTTGCAGATGCGGAAGAAAGCAAGGTGACAGTCTTGTCAAGTAGAGTTATTACAAGATATAAATGAGATTTTATATGGCTGAACTTAAAAAATAATCACAATCAATATTTTCTGGATGTCAGTCATTTCTACCTTGATCTGTAGATTCAATATATCTATAAATGTACCCAAATTCCAACACGTTATTTTTTGCATATCAAGCTAATTGTAAAGTTCATATATGTGGAGGGCAAAATACCCAGAGTATCCAATTCAAGATTGAAGGAGAAGAATAAAGTCATAGGACTATACTACCCAACTTTAAGACTTACTATAAAGCTACAATGATCAAAACAGTATAATATTAGCCAAAAAAAAAAAAAAAAAAAAGACACATTGTTCAACAGAACAGAATAACAGGACAGCAAACCAAGAAATAGGCCCACACAAATATAGTGAACAGATCATTGACAAAGGAAGGAGCAAATGTAATATAAAAGAGAAAAAAAATCTTTTTAATGATGCTGGTACAGTGGAAATCCACATGCAAAAAATATTAATCTAGTGCAGACATTATACCCTTTGCCACAGTCAGGACAGCTGATGAAGTTCTCGGCCATTAATGAAGACTCAGAGTCTAAATGAAGTTGCAATGAGGGGAGGCTGGGGAGCGTGCCATCGAGAGCAGCTCTGCCTTTCACTCTCTCAGCACAAGCTTTAATTAAAGATATGAACAAAGGAACAAGAAAATAGCACACAGTTGTGTTTTTGCTTAGACAGATTAATAAGTTACTGCTGAAAACAAGTTTTCCTGGTTAGTAGGGAACATGAGCAGTGCCAGCACATCCTCAGACAACAACAGTCAATTCTGTGAAGGAGTTCTGTTTGCAGAACTTCTAATGTCCTGGAACTCAATATGCAGAGTAAACAGGTATTTTCCAAAAACTCCAGCTCCCTCTAGGGCAGCAGGCTCCAACAACCCTTCATAACTCAAAAATTAACTCAAAAGGGAGCATAGACAGAAATGCAAAATACAAAACTGTAAGACCCCAGAAGGTAACATAAGTATAAGTCTAGATGATTTGGGTATGCTGATGACTTTTTACAATCAACACCAAAGGCATGATCTTTGAAAGAAAGAATTGACCAACTGGACTACATTAAAATTAAAATTTTCACTTTGTTAAAGACACTATAAGGAGGAAGAGAAGACAAGCCACAGAGTGGGGGGGCTGGGGGGAACAGGGAAAAGTTGCTAAAGACATACCTGACAAAACACTGTTATCCAAAATATACGAAGAACTCTTCGAAGTCAACAATAAGAAAAGGAACTTCTGACTTTAAAGATAAGCAAAAGACTTGAAGAAACACCTTGCCAAAGAAGATTTTAATATGGCAAATAACCATATTAAAAGACATTCCACATCACGTCATTAAAGAATAGCAAATTAAAACAGACCTAATAGAATGGTCAAAATATTGAATGCTGATGGCACCAAATGTTGACAAGGATGAGGAGCAACAAGAAGTCTCATTTATGCTCATCTATAGAAATACAAAATGGTACATCCACTGGGGAAGACAATTTGACTAAACATACAATTCAGCAATCATATTCCTTGATATTCACCTATAGGAATAGAAAAGTTATGTCCACACAGAAACATGCACATTAATGTTCACAATAGCTTTATTCATAATTTATTTATTCATAATTGCCAAAACTTGGAAAGCCAAGATGTCTTTCAGTAAGTAAAGTATAAAACTGTGGTACATCCATACAATGGAATATTATCCAACATTAAAAAGAAATGAGCCATCAATACACGAAATACATGGAAGAAACTTAAATACGTTTTCTAAGGGAAAGAAGCCAGTCTGAAAAAGCTACATACTGTGTGACGCAACTGCAAAACCTAGAAAAGGCAAAACTATAGAAATAGTAAAAGAATCAGTGGTGGTCAGGTGTGGGATCACCAGACCCCTAGTTCTCGGGGGATATTGTCTTGGTGCCCAGAGTTTCTGCTTGTCAGCTAAGTGTGGGGTCATGCAGTGGGGGCACTTGCCAAAGGCAAAAGTCCTGGTATGAGGAACAGACTGGGAAAAAAGTATCTGCTGATAACAGCAGGCAGATATTAGAATAGAGATAATATGCTTAGACTGAATTTAGGTTGCTGGGGGCCACCCAGACAGGGACAGGGGCAGAGAAGAGCACCAGCTCTCCCTGGGCTGACCAAAAGTGCCAGCACACAAGGAACTCCAACTTCTCCTTCCTGGCCTGAGTCCCACAGAAGAACAAGCCCTTCCCCAGGACAAGGTCTCTATCTCTCCCATCATCTAGGTTTCCTAAATGTATGAAAAGATATAAATGTTGTGTTAGCAAGTAGACTGAGGGGCATCCAGGGACCCTCTAACCTGCACACTCTAGTTTCTGCCATCTGCCACATAAAGACAAAACATACTCTTAATACATAAGACCTTTCATGGAAAGAACTTTAACAGTATTAGTATGCAATAGAGAGAAGAAAAAGAATAGTTTCCCAATGAACTATCTAGGTATCCATCCCCTAAATGCCTAGCCAAACAGCGTTGACCTAAAGCAGGGCCACTGAGTCCCAAAAGTTTACCACAAGTTTAAGGCACCTTCTGGTGGGGACCTATAGGAAAGAGGCAGAAGGGATCAGGCAAGTCTGGAATGAAAGGGCCATATCGAAGTCCAAGTCAAGATAAAGGCTACAATTGTCAGCCCCTTTGTGTGTCTCTCACCCACATCTCTTTCAAGTGTTTCCTTCCATGTCTCCCAAGTCCCTGGTACAAGCCCAAGACCAAGCAGCAAGCAGCTTCTTCACATGAATCCCTGCCCCATGTACGTCCTCCTAGTGTTCCCTGTAGTCTTCATAGCTTCCCCTTGTCATGAGCTCCACCTTTCCTGGGTGGGACAGAAAAACTAGGACCTCCCCCTTTTTAGACACAGTATTACAGGTGCACTCTAAACTCTTGCTGAATTGCTGTAACAATATGGGAAACAATAAACCTCCCTTCAACAAGATAAATCAAGACAAGCCAGGAAGGGGGCTACAGGGACACATGTTGAAGGCAGGAAGTTCTGCTTCCTGAAAGCAACACAGCCAAAGGCAATTTCACCTGATAGCCTCAAGCACAGCACTTGACTTGGAGGTGCTGCCAAAAACTCAAATCCAAAAACAGAAATGAGTGAAAAGGGAGGAGATGGGGAAAGAGAGACAAGAATTTTTTTCCTCCCGCCCCCGGGACCTTACTAAAGTCATTTATGAGCTGCACCCACCCTGTGGCACCTTAGAAACAAAGGGTCACCATCCAAATGCAAACAAATTTCTTTCCCGAAGTGACTGCGTTTCATAACTCCTGCACTTCCTAACATGGAGCCGCTCCATCTATGAGGTCATTTGTTTTCCTGAGAACTCAGTTATGGAGCCTGCCAACCATTCAGATTGCAGCCTCTGGCCAAGAAAGTCTATGAGAGGAAAGAAATGCATTAAGCCCCTTACTGCTCTCTCTGAGGTCAATCAGAGCATTCAAGTCCCATATGATTATGTTCCCCGCCCCCCCAAAAAAACTATGCTTACAAAGATAAAAAGTTCCAAATGCTGTCTTTTCTTAAAGGTACGTTTGTTTCAAATCATATGTTTTAAATCTATAACGAAACAGCCTGAGTTATAATTATTCCAATTCCACACTACCCAAAAGCCAAGAGATAACATTCAGACACGGTCAGTGTGTTATTGGTGTTTTAAAGAGTAAATCTGTTGATTCAGGACACAGATTCACACAGAAAGAAGAAATGGCAAAGAACAGATCCAACTTACATCACGCCTGCTCCTAGAAGGAACCGATTTCATGCCTCCAGGTGAGGGGCAGGCATCCCTGCCTTGTGGAGGCTCTGCTGTTAGTCATTTACACCTGAGTGTGACTGAAAAATTTGACGCCCACACTCTTGAAATTCTACCTATAATTGAGAAACAAAGGGTTTTATATGGTTATTAAGGGAATTTGAAAACTCAATGTACAGCTAAACGAGATGTAGAAGAAGTGGGAGTAAGAAACCCACATGTTTTTAAAGAGAGTGGCTTACCCAGAAGTGTTTTCATTGCACTCTGTTTATAATGTAACTTTCATGACTCCTTAGCCTAATAACCACAGGAGCTATTGCAGGATTTCTTCCTTTTGTCAAGTCTCATGAAGGAAGCATCAGGCTCCAAAAAAGGGGAGAACTGTTTCCTTAAACATGAATCTCTACTTCCAACCACATTAGACCACCCTCGCCATACTGAAACCACATCAAATTTGCTTTTGAAAATACACCCTTTTCTCCAAGGAAAAGAAACAGAAATAGTCAAGTAGGAAAGGAAAAAAAAAAAGTTACTAGTCAGGATCAGTGAACAGTCGCCTAGAAATGGAACTGCAATATTATATGATAAACTTTTCTTTTGATTTAATTCAAGCAGGCCTGAACTTCAGGCTAGAGAGTGAAGGGTCTGGCATTCTTTATTACTAGCAAACTTGTGAATGGTGCCCGCTCAAGAAGCTCAAATTTGTCTCTCTTTTCATTCTGTAATGAAAGCCAACACCTTTGTGGGAAAGGAAATCAGTAGTTAATTGAAAGCTCATCTTAAGGATGAATTTTGTTTCAAGTTTGTTACAAATCTTAGTGTGTTTCAGATTGACCTTAAAATTTATCATCTCACAGAGTTCTGTGGAGGAAATGAGATGGGTAAGTGAATAGTCCTTGATATGAAACCCAAATCCCTCATAAGAAGAGAAATCCGACTCATTGATGTAATAACCACAGTTTGATGCTAAGCATCAGATTTCCAGGAACTCTGTTCATAATGAATTAGTTATGGCTGGCTAATATCGGGGTAAGACCTGAGGGGTGTGGGGGGAGGGGGAAGGAGAATGAAAAAATTCACCAGAAACAGAATGGAGAATAGAAAAGGCAGATTTCTTGAAATACACTGCTGAGAGGAGCAAAAGGCAAGAAGGAAGAGGTCCTCTACCCCTAGGAAGGATTTGGGGCTCTCCTCTGTAACTTGTTTTTGGGGGCTTTTCATGACTGGGGATGTCATTAGGTCTCTCTGCTGGTCATTATCAGCTATGATTATCAGTGGGCCTTCTACACAGGAGGTGTCCTGTGGTTCTGTTTGCCCTGTTTCTGCATTTCCCAGAATTCTCCACAGCCCTCTCTTTGTCATGTGGGTCTAGGGGCAGGTTCCCATGGCAACTCTATGGTTTCCTTTCCTTATCTTTTGTGTCTCCCAGCATTGTTCAGCTGAGCAAAGTGCAGAAACCAAGTTTTAATTTTACTAAATGATACCCTGATATTAGTTATTGTCTAGGGAGGAAAAATAAATAACCTATAGATGCATATCCAGAATACCAAACAATTAATTGAAGTAAAATATCTTCCCACTCTGGGCCTCCTTAATGGTGCAAGGGGTTAAGCACAGCGCTGTGAAGCTGTCCGCAGCCTCTGCAACACAAGTTTGATCCCCAGCCAGCCAGGGAGCTACCCACATGGCGCAGCAGACCTCTCCTGTCTCGCCCTCTGTTCCCCTCAGCAGTGTATTTCAGTCAGTCTGCTTGTTCTGTTTCCCACTCTGTCTCTGGTGAATCCTCTCACCCACCCCCACCCCACACCTCTGGCCTTTACCCCAGTACCTGTATGCATAAATAAATAAATCCTTTCTTTAAAAAAAAAATCTTCCCACCCTGATACTAGATAAACACCAAAATGTTCTAATAACTGCAGGAAATAATGAACCAATTTCAGAAATTATTATAAAAATTTTATTCTTGCATGTATAGTAGCAATGCACACTGGACACCTACAATAGGCAGAATATTATCCTAGAGAATGCCGCATTTCAAGAGAAATAGGATATGAAGCCTTGCTTGGTAATTAGATAATAGAATTACATAAACCTAAAAATAAACTTGAAAGTTGTTTTTAAAACCCTCAGTAATTCTAACCTATTGGAAATAAGCACTTGCTCAATACAATACAATTTCTGTTATAGGCTACACATAAACAAATACAGTTTTAAAGCTAATTCCATGGTGGCTGCATTGGGTTACATGTTTAATAGACATTCTGCACCCAACAACAGATTTGAGTAGTTTGTAATGTAGCCAAATTATCTGCCTGCTGGCTTTCATTTACATGATATTTTTTAAAATTTTTATTTATTATTATTATTATTTTAATTATATATACGTATTTTTACATCATTTTTCATTTTGCACAATGTATGCATTTTCATCTTGGTTATAGTCCCCATACAATTCCCACCCCCTCTTGTTTTGATCCTACCCTTCTCTCCCCCCCCACCCCCGTAGTTTGCCTCTGGCCCAGAGTTGCTTATTGATATTGATTTTTACTTTAATATAATTAGTATTTTTCCTGGTCCCTTATTTAGGTTTTCTAAATTCCTGCTATGAGTGAGCCCATCTGGTATTTTTCTTTTTTTCTCTGGCTTATTTCGTTGAGCATGATCCCTTCCAGCTCCATCTATGTTGCTGCAAATTGCATGAGTTTATCTTTTTTATTGCTGAGTAATATTCCATTGTGTATATGTACCACATCTTCTTGATCCAGTCATCTATAATCATGTGTGTGTATATGAAGAGACTTCCAGAAGTGGTAGGAAAGCAGCTTTCTTCAGCAGGTAAATATTTCTATTTAATGATGTTGGTGCATTTTATTTTGCTAAAAACATTTTGTTTTTATTAACAGTTCAGAAGTAAATATAAGCTTGTTAATAATTACACTAAGTTAAAAACGACTGAAGTGCTATTCAATAAATTGCAATTTGCACAAAGATCACATGGGAAAATAATTTCCATAAGAGAAGCAAAAATAGCAGTTAACCTTTTTTTCTGTACTTATTCTGTATGTGCCAGTCACCAAGCTTTTATGCAGGCTGATCTCATTTCATTGAAACATCTTCAAGAAGGTATTCATTCTGCCCCCACTTTAAACAAGTAAAAACTAATAGAATGTGAGTGTTCAAACATGATGTTAGACTGCCAGCCCTCCAACCCAGAAAGACAAACTGGAATTGTATTGATTTGTCACTTTAAAACACAGCATCTTCCCATGTAAATAAAAAGTGAGTACCCATGAAAATGTCATTCTAACCTTTTTTGCTAGTACATATGAAAAGAATTTTATTTAAATAATAACACCATTACATCCTGTTCTACTTTATAATTTCCATACTATGGTCAACCTAGAAGCACATGTGCCTAGAAAGAGCAGCCTGGAAATGACATCATCACTGCCTGACATCATCACTGCTAAGTCTCTCAGACCCAGAAAGCCAGAAAGCCCCCCTTTCTAATTTCTCTGGTGTCCTTTTCTTCTGTCTATGCCCTGTCATCATTGTGTTAATGCCACTGCAGCTCCTGCCTGCACCATCCCTGCAGGATTTCTTGGCTTGCATGTTCAAACTTCCCATCGCTCACCTACTTATCTGCCTGTTCTAATTGTTACTTCTCTCTCCAAATCTTACTAGTCAAGCTTTGTAGAGCTAATCCACAGGGTTTTTGCTCACTTTCCACCCTCTGCTTTCTGGTTCCTGCCCACATCTTTGCTTTTTCTCGGCTCCCCTCTTCTCCCTCCCACCTGCAAATAGAAGTGTTCCCCATGGGTCACCCTAGAACACCACTTGCCCTGCTCTATGCATTCCCTGTCCTAGTTCATCCACCTCTACCAGAAACACCAAAATCTCTATCTCAACTCCAACCTCTTCCTTTGAGCTCCCAATTCCCATCTAACCTCCATGAGCCACTTCCTTCCAGATGCCTCAGAAGTGACTCACATTCATGATTGAGTTCCACTCAATCGCTCCTGCTCTTGCTTCTATGTTCCCCCATTTCAGGTTATGGCTCATTATAACAAGTCCAAACCACTTACATCACCCTTGACCTCCAGTCACTAATCTCAGCAGATTGTTCATGAATCTATCTCCACTTCTCTAAACCCATTACTCTAAGTGGATGCCAGCAGCAACCCTCACATGGACCATTAAAATAGCCTCCGAATGTCTCTCCTTGACTTCAATCCTTCCCTAGAACTCCATCTTCTATGCTGCTCTTGGATTTTTGGATTGAACTGTTTCACATAAAGCCTACTTATGTAAACTCCTTGCCTAAAATCTTCTGATGCCCCATGACCTGCCCAGTGTCAACAACACAGCCCCATCGCTTCCCATCATACACATTACATTTCCACAGAACCAAATACCTATAAGCTCTCCCTGTTCACTAATGTTTTTATTGCTTTGTGTTTTTCCTCCTACATGGAATACCCTCCCCATTCTTTGTGTAGTACACTCCGATGAGATTGTCAGTAACATCAGGAGAAATTTCCTGAAGGAGGAGAAAGACATATTTCTAAACAAAGAAGGCTGAACTGGAATACCATACACAAAGTCCTGGACACCAGCCCATGTCAGCCCAAACAAATCTCCCCTGAATAGTTATGGTTTCAGCTAACTCTTTGCATAGTCTTGCTCTGAAAATTATCTTTTAATGTGCCCATTTGATTGTTATGTTTCTCAAGTCCTTGGAGACAAACCATGTTTTGGGCCACTTCATATTTCACTGTACACCCAGAACATCATTTTACACAGGACACATGCCCATTAATTGGCTAGATGTAACTTGACAACACTATTGACAGGAGTATTCTGAAACAAGTTTTTTTTGAAAGATTATTTATGCGTACAAGTACCGCAGTGCAGGCCAAGGTGTGGAGGGTGAGAGGATTCACCAGTGACAGAGTAGGGAACAGAACAGGCAGACTGACTGAAATACACTGCTAAGGGAAGCAGTGGGCAAGCCAGGAGAGGTCTGCTGAGCCATGTGGGTATCTCCCTAGCCAGGGATCAAACTCGTGCTACAGTGGCTGAGGACAGCTTCATAGGTTGCATCTTAATCCCTCGCATCACTAGGGAGGCCCCTGAAACAAGTTTTTTTTTTTTTAACCTATCCTCTGTTCATTAGAAGTTGGTCAATGTACTGACTATGATATCAGTTCGATATCATCTTTATGAGAAAAAAAATGTGTATTTGGATATGCATAGAAGACAAGATTTAATGGTAAGACTTCACTCCCTGACCTGACTGACCACATACATTAACACATTTTATCTGTTCAACAGTTTTCTGAAGTAGGATTATTGTTGTCATCTCACAGGTGAGAATGCTGAGGCACATTGAGGTACTGTAGCCACTCATGAAGAGAAAGGCTTGGATATGGGAAGAGGCAGCCTGGCTCCAGAGCTGTCTCTCCAGTGTTGCAGGGGCCTGCCGACAGACAGGACACAGGAAGATGTCTAAATACTTCATTATTACTGACAGTTCTGATCCTAAAGCCAATCTTACCCTACCCTCAAAAACATGCCATCATCTCAAATACAAAAATGAAAAATATGTAACAATTGATATTATCACACTCAAATGTAGTTTCTGCTGAAGAATCTGATTGACCATAGTTAATGGTAACATTAATAAATTAAGAGGGAAAAAAATTGGACCCTTTCAGTAGATGGTAGGAATAGCCTCCATTGCAGTGCGATTAAAAGCTAACATTGGGGTCTCCCCCGGTGGTGCAGCGTTTGAGCGCTGGGCTGCGCAGCAGTTGAGAGCTGGGCTGCGAAGCTGCCCACAGCCACTGCAGCACCGGTTCAATCCCCAGCCACCAGCGAGGGTCCCACATGGCGTGCAGACCTCTCCTGATGCCCGCTGCTCCCCTCAGCAGTGTATTTAGTCGGTCTGCCTGTTCTGCTCCCTGCTCTGGCTCTGGTGAATTCTCTCACCCTCCCACACTTCTGACTGTACCCAGTGCTTGTATAAATAAATAAATAATTTTTTTAAAAAAAGCTACGTAACATTGAATGCTACAAACATTAGAAATAAAACGTCAGCTTATAAGTGTAGTGGACGCATGTGTAGAATAATGACTTGAAGAATTAGTCAAGCATGGCCTCCATTTCCCACACATCCTTGTTCTCCAGAGTCCCTGCCACCAGTTCAGGCAGCTGGGATGCTCTAGCCTCATGCCTTCAGAGTTGAGTTGTCACTACAGAGTTGCAGATAATTACTGCTTGTGTTGTTTTTGTTGTTAATATTTCACACCTGCAAAGTGTGCATATATTAAATATATGTAAACCATAAGTTCATAATAAAATAAACTCCAACATCCAGTGGTCCAAGCTCAGTTTTGAATCATTGGGAAAAGCAATGGCTTTGTAAGGAAGGGTTCTGAGCTGCAAAATTCTGAATTATTTGCATTGTTTGAGTCCTGATTTAAACAGTAAGCAGAAGCAAGTAATAATGTTTCTAGTGAGTCTGTTGGCTCAGACACAATAAAGATCCAAGGGGACTGGGGAAGAGTTGGGAGGGGCAGCAAGAGTTAGTTAAACATCCATGACAATTTCTTAGAATCCTTGAGTGGGTTCCGCCCATGCCCTTGGCTCCAATGGATGGAGTTAGAGAATGCCTAGTTTGGAAGGCCAAAGTTCCTGCCAGAAGCCTAGGGAAAGAAGCAAAAAGAAAATTTTGAATGGACTGTTTTAAACTAAAGTGATTGATTATATTTGGCTGGTATTTTTGAAGATTTCATTTTCTGCAAAAATGGAAAGCAAAATAATAAATTTCAACTATATAAAAATAAAGACCATTATTTTTTGTACACCTGAGAATGTGATTTCGACATTTGCATTTATAACATACTTTGGTAAACAAAAATTTTTTTTTGAGCTTTATTCTAGAGACACAAACCACTAGGGAATGGTACATCAAGTGGCATGTTTAACAGATTGGGCAAATGGAGCAAATCAAAGTATCTCCATTTTTTGTTAATAGAAAGCATTCGTCTGGAAAAGAAACTAAGTGATTGACTTGCTAACCAACACCTGAGCACTGTGGAGATGGGAAGTTAGAATTATTTACTCATTATCTCTCTTTCACCAATAAACTAAGATATTTTGAAGTGCTTTCCAATCCTGGGATTCTATAACTGCTCTCCTCTGCTCAAGCATTTCAAATAGATTCTCTGAGACCACTCAGTGGCATTTATTCCTCACAGTTAACACAGGAAAGAAATGAAATCCTCCTCTTTTTCAAACATCGTGGGCTTACTGCCATCCCTTTCAAATCAACATTATTCTTTCTACTTTTAAGATGACTTAAGATTTCAATTCTTATAAAACCATGGAAAACAAAGGCAAATAAAGTACAGACCCTAAACATTTCCAACCTCCACATCTATACAAAGTCCATGCTCACAATGTAAAACTTCAGACAATGAACAATCAACTCTTACATTATTTTGGCCTCTAGTATACGACTTGCCAGAGCCCTGGACTGTAGACCAATCTTTTTTAAAGAAGGAATTGACTGTATGATGTCATTACACGCTGTATTCATGTTTAAATGTATTGTTCTTACAGATGTCTAGAGCTCAGGCACCCATAGCTTCACTTTATAATCCATGTGTGACAAAGTAGAAAGAATTTGTGGGAAGATTAAAATCAGAAAAATTGGAGTTGAAATCTTAGGCAGTCTCTGACCTCGAAAAGTTTACACACCAGAAAGGATGACAGATATACACCACGAAATTTCAATACAGTGTTGTGAGTGCTTTGACAGGCATAAACACATGATGTTATGAGAGTACAAGCGGAGGTGTCGGGGGTGGAGGTGTGAAGAAATGACCCTTAGAGAGAGAATGCCTGAGCCAAGTCTTAAAAGAGAAGTAGGAGCCTGCCAGGCAAAGAAAAGTGCTTATTAACTGCTGAACAAGGAAGATCAGTTACACCATCGACATGGCTACACAAGGAAAGCACACATCATCAATCGCAGTGAAACAGGCATGAGAATCAATCCTGAAGAAGCGTGTCTCTGGTGCTTTTGATGAAAAGTGTAGTAGAGATCTCAGGGGGAAAGATGAAAGATCAGAGACCTATAGGTATAAGAACCTTGTCTCTCCACACCATCCATCGACTCAAACTATTTTTATTGGACAGAACTGAAAGAAACATTGTTGGCAAATAAAATACCTACCAGAGCATTCTGGAGTGCTTCATGTTGAATACATGCTCGAACTTTGACCTGCAGAGCACAAATCCATATTTGAGTGGTTAAGGGGCCATATAAGATGAGCGCTTGTTATGAATGAAACTTTGGAGATTACATCAGCTACACTAACCCAGAACAGCTGACAACCATTGCCGATATCATGCATTCAGCAATCAGCAACATCTTTGGTACAGATGTCAGGGAAACCATTGTGCCAATTATGCTGTAATGATGAGAGTAGAGAGCCTGACTGGGGAATTCTCATTTCATGTCTTCTTTGGAAAAGCATCTCTTAAAAGAGGGCAATATACAATATATAATGTGCATCCTGTCACTCTTTTTGGCCTGAGCTGTGCTCCTTGTGACTCTGTGGATCACCGAACTTTCTGATCTTAGAGTTGGGATGGTACAAGCTAAAGGATTTTGGCACACACAAAACCCACTACATTCTTGAGTGCTCAAGACTTTACAATGTTCTAAGCTACATCTGAGCAAACCTGTTTCTTACTAATACTATCAGCCCTTTTAAATAGTTTCTCTACAAAGGATACAGGAAGAAAAATATTATTTAGTAAGGCTCAGTTCATTAGAGCCCATCATTCTTTCTGCATTCCAAAATTAAATTAGTTACATTTAATTGAAATTAATGAGTAGAAGAAAATCTTTTATAGGAAAATAAGCAATGCAAGCCTCAGTGTCAGTGTGGATGTTAAGTCTTTAGCTCATATCTTCTATAATAGCAATACTCTGCAACTAATTCTTATTTTTTTCAAAACATATTCACTGAGCATCTATTGTATGCTAATAACTAATCCCAATGAGAATCAATGTTCAGAAATGTGAGCCTTGGACACAACATTCTTAATCATTAGAAAAAGGTTAAATTACACTTACTCTCTTGAACTGACTAAGATTAGGAAAATGTTCCAATAGATTTTCTCAATAAGGTAGGAAAAAAAATGGACTTCATTAATAAGATCATTCCCTCACAACTCTCTCCTCCTCACTGTGCCATTTGCTAACCCTTACAGGAATTTCAGGAGGGTACTTTTTATTTTTTATTTATAACTATGGATCAAGGGACAATAGACTAACCAAAAGGTTTTAGCTGCTGGCCGAAGTTAATGAATACAAGACACAGATGAATGGAGAAGGAATTCTTACAAGACAGGTCTTCAGATCATGAAGGTGATACACCTTCAAGCACAGTGTGAATTTAGACCCCAAGCACACTATTGCTTCCAGAAACTCCCTCCAATAGAAAATTTTATAGGCATTTTAGAGTCTCATGGGTGAGTCCCTGAAAATATCACAGTTGGTCAAAAAACATATGTGTTTCAACTCTTTCTAACTTGCTTTGGTGTTAGCTTATAAAAACTCATAGGTGTATATTGGACTCATTAAACAGAGGGACTCATAAGCACCAGCTCGATCAGGGCAGAGTGCTGACAGGCATTATACATTATGCAAGCTTCCCCACATCATTCTGCCAACGTACTTCCATTTTAATCCAAAACATTCCCAGCTTGTCAAATACTAGGCCTCCCTGGAACATATAAAACCAATCATGCCACCTCACACAGAGGTTCTCTGATGTGGACAAATTTCCACTGGAGACTGTAGGGAACCCATGACCACATTTTCACATGTTACTTCAAATCAATCCAAAATCCTCTCTTCAGAGCTGGTACAACAGTAACTCAGGGAAAGTAGATAGAAGAAGTTGGAGCCCAAGGCATACTGACTTGGCAGTTTTCAAAGATTTATTCATCATTAAATAAAGCCAATGAATATTCATAACTCAGCCATAGACATTTCATCTAAGAACTCACTGTGGGTGAAGATATATATATATAATTTCTCCCAGGACTGTCAAGATCATATTGACACTGAATATAGAAAAAAAAAAAAAAAAAAACAACTTCAAATCTCCAAATTTTCTAAACAGGCAACAGAGAGAGCTCATATAAAATACTTCACAATTTCATGTTGACAAATTGGCATGTCAAGACAATTAGCCTTTTTGCAGAAAGATGGTGTACAGATGCTTGGAAGAATCATGAGTCTGATTGTTCTACAAAAGTCAATAAGGCTGAGTCTCTAACAGAGCTAACATGTCAGAGAAGGAAAAGATAAGAATTGGGAAATTGATATGAAAAGCAGCCAGGCAAGAAATACACAGGGAAGCATGTTGAGTCATGGTTGAAAACAATGTGAGTAAACTTTGTCTTAAGGCATGTATGGCACTGTAAGCAAGGCATCCTGAAAGAGTGATTATAAGCCATGAATAAGAAGTTTATGACAACCTGAACAGTAAAAGTAGGAAGGTCAGTTCCTTGTGATGGAATGAGAGGTCTCTGAGACCCTTGAGAGAAGAGGCAGAAGAATTCTGAATTTTGCTGAGAATCCTGAAGAATGGTCAAATGGAAAAAAAATTATGTGCTGCTTTCAGTTTATAGAAAAGATAGAAATGCTACCCCAAAAATATGAAACCAATTGGACTAATAACCTAGAAAGAATTCAAAGGATACTTAATAGTCACCATAAACCTGAAAATGTATTCATGCCATTGATGACTTGTGTTTAGTGCAAATCAATCTCTAAGAAAGCATAAAAATAGACAGGCTAATAGAAGTGTGTTTAAATGTTTGGGGAGCTTAGAAGGATTGTACTATGCCAGATCAATTTAATGTTCCTTTTCAATAGAAGGATAGTGTTGAAAAATAAAAAGAGAAGCAATAGTAACAGGGAATTTTATTTCTCCAAATCTGCCATTCTTATCAACAAATGAAGACTATATGACCTAAATCACATGCGTCATGTGTAAGTACAATCAGCTAGAGGGATATACCCAAACTTTGGCTATACTCTAGAGATATGATTAAGTGAGATGGTTGACATTCACTAATGTTTTTTTCAGCAACTTAGCTGACAGGATGCAGTGCTATGTCACTGGAATGTTGAGCAATAAATTGAGGGAAAGAGAACACTGTAAAAATGGGAACATAATTTGGGAACTACAATATATCAGGGCAAAACCAAAATAGTCTTCAGGAATGCTAAAGGATTAAAAACAAATACACAACTGAGTTAAGCAAAGATTTCTTAGCTATAATACCAAAAGTGTGATTTGTTTTAAAATTTTAATAAAATAAAATAGACTTCATCAAAATATTAGAAACTTGTGCTCTTCAAAAGATATTGCTAATTCAAAAAAGATAAACACATGCAATTTGCAGCAACATGGATGGTGCTGGAAGGGATCATGCTCAGCGAAATAAGCCAGAAAGAAAAAGAAAAATACCGGATGGTCTCACTCATAGCAGGAATCTAGAAAATTTAAATAAGGGACCAGGAAAATGAATAACTATAAGAAAGTGAAAATCAAAATCAACAAAAAACTATGAACCAGAGACACTTTTTGGGGGGTGGGGGGTGGGAGGGGAGGGATTGGGTTCAAAATGGGGGGTTGCAATTGTATGGGGAATATAAAAATAAAATCTATTACTTAAAAAAAAAAGATATTGCTAAGAGAATGAAAATACAATCCACATATTGGTAGAAAATATTTATAAGTCATATCTGATAAAGGATTTGTCTTTAGAATATAATTTTTTAACCCTCAAAAGAACTCAATTATAAGAAAAGAAATAACCCAATTTTTTAAACAGGCAAAAGATATGAATAGATCACTAAAGAAGACAAACATGTCAAATAAACACATGGAAGGATGTTCATCATCATTAATTATCAAGGAGATGCAAATCAAAACCATAGTGAGATGCCATCTCACTGCATACCCATTATAATGTCTAAACTAGATGTCTAAAATGAAAAAGACTAGCAGGTATTGGCTAGGATGTGGGTGAAATGGAACTCTCATACACTGTTAGTAGGAACACATAACACAATAACCATTTTGGAAAAGAGTTCATCGATATCTTTAAAAAGTTAAATATGTATTTTCCATGTGATCCAGTCATATTGTAACAGGGCGGTGCCCAGAAAAAGGGGAGGTTCCAGGTTCTGTTTCTCTGCTCCATGTGCCTTCTTTAGGTCTCCTCATTGCTCTCCATCCTGTTTCCTTCCTTTCCCAGTCTCCTCTCCAGCTTCTCCTCCCTGCTCAGCTCCACCTTCCTTTGGGTGGGGCAGGGAATATGAAAAGTCCCCTTTTCCTCGGCACCACCCTGTTACAATTCCAGTCCCTTGGTATTTAAACCCGAATGTCCATTACCAATGAATGGGTAAAGAAATTGTAGCATATCTAGTCAATGAAATCCTACTCAGCCATTTCAAAAAAGCATGAACCACCACATGGGTGAATTGCACAATAATTATGCTGAACCAAATATATGTATACACTAAATAACTACATTTATATAAAATTATAAACAAAAACAAGTCTAAAAATGACAGAGAGCAAATCAGAGGTTGCTTGGAGACTTGGGGGATAAGAGATGTTAAGCATGAGGAGGGTGGAAAGGGAGAAATTATAGGAAGGCAAAAGAAACTTTTGGGAGTGAATATGTTCATCATCTTGGTTGTGTTGATGGATTCACTGTCATATACATGTTAAAACATAAGATTATACCTCTTAAAATGTATGATTTATCAACAAAATTGTATATGCACATGCATACACAAAATAAAAATTAAGGTGAAAACTCCAAGAAAGAAAAAACTGGCATAAAAATAGATAACTCAGTGTATCTATCATCTTTCTGGCATTTCATCAGAAAGAAAACTGTGGTATTGCTGTGCAAGAGTTAGCAAACTTTCCATTATGATAGCACTGGTTATACCCACATTCGAATACAGATTCTGGTCAAGGGTCCATATTTGAAAAATAATAGAATGAAATTCAATAGAAAATCTATTCACTGCATATGTAATTACTTGACTAAAAAGTAAAAGAATTGAATCACTGAAGTTTCACCCATTCAAAAATCTCCTTTCTGGTGAGAAGTCACCTTACTTAAAAATCTCAGTTCTGGTTCAATTCTTTTTCCATCACTTTTGGCAATTAAAATCATCTCTGTGCACCAGCTCTGCAGAATCTTTTGTTTTTCCCCAGTTATAGTTGAACTATCAGTTCAAGTGCCTTGGGGTTAGGAAGGTGGGAAGCAATCTGTACTTCCACTCTTCTCT